CCTCTCCCCCCGGCACCGCTCCCCCGCTTCACTTGCTGTGCGGTGCCCGGGCAGAGGGCAGGAGCCGAAGGACTGCTGGTGCAGAGCCGTGATCCATCCAGCTGGTCCGAAAGAAACACTGTACTTTCAGTCATGAACAGCCATGGTTCTTTTCCACAGGTGAAGTAGTTTCCAGTGAAATTTTCGTATTTTTGCACATTTTCTATAGGTGAAAGGCATGCAAAAGTGATCTTGCTCCATGATAAAACTAATGTTTCTTTTCTTTTTTATTCTGCATGCCTGCAGAAGCAAACTACATCCAAATAAATGCTTCTAGTTAGGACTAAAAATACATTTATACGTGGGAATCAGTGGCGTTAGTCATGCTAATTACATTGCAGGTCTGGGTGTTTAGACTGGAAAATACAAGAAAGCCAGTTATGTTTTAGCTGTCAGTTAGGTATCAGTGACTGTAGATGTTATGGTATAGCCTAAAGCTGCAGCAGTAGTGAGGGCTCCACATCCAAGTACTATAGATATCTATATCATCCCTCAGAGAGTTCCCAAGCAACTGAAATAGACTCTGTAGGATGTATAGATGATACTAAATAATAATTATTATTATTATTGCCTAAATATTTGGAATAAACCAAAAGCCTGATCGCTTTAGGGAAATGGGTATTTTCAAATCACCTGTAGTAAAGTACAGACAACATCCTCAATTTTACCAGTGCATTATAACATTACTATGAGAATGAAATCTGTGTGGTAGTTGTCACAGTCCCCTGGTACCTGTGGGGGTGTTACAGGGACAGGGAAATGCAGAAGCCTCACTCTTCTTGTCACCAAAAGTAAAAATGTTTAGCCAAAGTTTTCTTGACCCTTTCCTATACCTTTACAGCACAAAGAGGAAATAGCCTTTTGAGTAATTGTTTGAATGAATAAAAATGTCTGAATGTGTATTTAAGGAGACATTTTTTCTTATATGTGGAAAAGGTCCTGATAGTGCTGACTGAAGTAAACCAAACCCTGGTCCTGTATATACTTTGGAACATGACTTTACCGTGGCATAAGGTGCCCCAATTTGAATGAACAGAGTTTGTGAGGCACAGACGAGAAAGGCACATGTAATGGGATTTGTAGGTCCAAATTCTTCTTTTCTGTAAGGCAGCTAGAGGTAGTTAGACCTTATTTTATGCACTATTTAACTGGGAATTAACTCTGAGTTCTTTCTGATGGCTTAAAACTTAATTTTGCACCAGCCATGCTCTGTTAGTCTATGATAGCGCAGGTAAATTCATTGGTTCTCTTGTCATAATTTTACCTATGGAGTAAAATATAATTAAGAAAGAAGGCAAGAGGCCTTAAATTAGAAATACTAGTCATCTAGTGGCCTGGCCAACAGCTGGTTCCTGCTGCTGACTCTGCACTGCTGTGCCTCCGCAGGGATTGCGGGTAGGAAGGGAGGAGGTGGGGACACCGCCAGGAACGTGTCCTCAGACATGTCAGGTATTCGGGCACCAAAGGACGGTTTCCGCTGACATAGGGAAGGGAAACGAGAGATGTGCGTGGACAAGGATCCTCTGGAGCTGATGGGGCCTGCTTGTGCACCCTCAGGCTCCGCAGACACTGTTCCTACACGTGCTGCCTGTGCTCCTGTCTCAGTGAACACATGCTAATCCCATTTCTTCTTCACAGGCGGGTTCTGTGCAGGCTTACCTACGTCAGTGCTAGGTTGCTATGAATGTCATGCAAAGTGTCATGCATATTATGTTCTGTCATAACACTGTTTATTAACGGCTGTTTTATTAACTGTTGTTCAAAATAACCCCAGGTAACCTGTAAGTAAATTGTCTTTCCTAGTCAGGTCTTTACTGGCTTTCAAGACACATGGTTGCTATTATAGAACCGCAAGGTGAGAATTTGTACTACCATGGAAAAATCATTACTGAATGTTTTGTTTGGGAAAAACACGTAAAGTCATAAATACTTTGAAACTGAATTGAAAGTTACTGATCCTGAACCTATTGGCTGTAAGTCATGTTGATGCTGAGGGAGAGTGTGACCTGCAGCTTAATAAAACGATATTGAATGATTAAAGAAAAACCAAACCCACCAAGTTTAACTATGCAGCAGCTGCTGTTCGAGTGGCATATAAATTCCCAGTGATACTCACATGTTCTGTGAATATCGGGCTGTGAAAGAGTGGAAGGAACCTGAGTCTGCACATGCTTAGTGCTGGCTCTGTGGTCAGATCTTTTATATTTGATGGGAAAGTAAATAAGAGAAAGAAGGATGTGAATTCACTGGGTTGCTGTTCTGAGGTACACGGTGAGCTCCGGCGGTAACACAGCCATTTCTCTGTTCTCTCACTCGAGGTGTCCAAGTGCTCCGAAGAGATCAAGAACTACATCGAGGAGCGGTCGGGCGAGGACCCGCTGGTGAAGGGGGTTCCCGAGGACAAGAACCCATTCAAGGAGAAGGGAGGCTGTGTCATCGCTTAGGGAAACGAACCACCCGGAGCAGACACTCTTCCTGTACCTGTAGGGAGTCACTAGCGTGTCCCCACCGCCGCCGGTCATTGTTGAAGAGCACAGGAGCGGATTTCTTTTTTTGTGGTTTTTTTTTTTGTTTGTTTGTTTTTCTTTTCTTACAAAAATAAAGAAACCAACCCGAACGCCGCCGAGATCCGCGTCGGTCGCTCGGCAGGGACGGCTGTCCCCCGCTCCCCGGCGTGGCCGTCCCTCCTCCCCCGGC